GTTCGACCTAATGAGCGTTGCGAGCATATTGCACCCATACCTGTCCGACGTTAATATTGCGGACGTCGTAATCAGGTTTGCGTCGACGTGCAGAAGACTGGACGGTGTTTTTTGCACTGGGTTGTAGTGGGTTAAGACCCGAGTGATGTGACCAGTTAAGCCAAGGCTTAACTAAACTTTGAGGAAAATAAACAAAAATTTCGTGTTACCCGACCGCGGCCGGATATATCGTCTTAGGAGGTAGCGATTGTGTCCGTCTCGAATTCCGAGCCGACTTGGTCGACGACGACTATCACGGGTTCTTGGTCGAGTTTTGGGCTCCCGTGGCTCGTGAAGCCGTCGTCGACGGATCGCGAGACTTGTGAGGACGGGAGGTACCACTCCCAGCTGGCTGGATCCCCAAAAATTTAGATGACGAATTACTTTGTGAAGAGAGGACCGGAAGATCAGTCTCGCCTCGTGCTGAGGACTGAAAAGGGACACCAAAAAATTATTAGTACAAACATTAAATAACACGAAAATAACACTACCATCATTACACAAACAATAATGGTTACAATGACTCACATGTCTTGTAAATCGAGGGCTTGGGTTTCTAGGAAAATTACAGTAAATATTTATTTTAACTAAACTAAACTTTACCATTTATACGGCCTAAAAATTCGAAACTCGATTAAAAGGTAGGCATAGGGAGGACTGTATGTTGTAATTCTTGTACTGTAAAATTATGTATTGTTTCTATTTATGGTACTATATCGTCTTCTTTGACTCGTCGTATGTTCGTAAAGGTTGTACCGCGCATTTTATATTTTCGTTGCTGTACATTTCACGTTTCTCCTCTATGGGGACACAATTTCACGTAAAACGCCACCTAACGTGCACAAAACAAGGATCTTGGTAAGAAACTCAACTGGAATTTGATAACTCCACCCTGTTAGGGCCATATGAAGTCAAACCCTCGGATAAGGTGTTACTCGGACGAAATTACCTCCTCCTGCAAGACTAGGTTTTCCCAGGGAGATGCGCACTGGAGTCGAGGAGACCCACAGACTGATCACGACGCAGATCACAAAAAAACCACCTACTAAGGGGGATTCCCTGTCTCTAGGTAACAAAGGCATTTTCTAGGTCTTTAAAAGATAAATACGACTTGGTTTTGGCCAATAGTCTCATCTAAAAAAAGCAGGATTTGACTACGGTGCTGACCTGCTTGTCAAATTTAAAAGTGCTAGTGAAGGTCACTCCAAGGTTCATGACAGAGGGGAGGATGTTTTCATTGAGAGAGCCCAGAATATCAACCGGAGAGGCTGGAGGTTGGGGTCCAAAAAAGATGACCTCAGTCTTGCTCTCGTTGAGGTTGAGAAAGTTTTTGCTCAGCCAGGATTTCATCTCTGTTAAGCAGTCCATCAACTGCTGTAGTGAGTTTTTGACATTTGCTTTGAGAGGCAGATAGATCTGTACATCGCCGGCGTAGCAGTGGAAGGGAATATTGTGTTTTGTGAGAATTGAACCTAGGGGCAGTATGTACAATAAAAAGAGGATGGGGCCAAGAATCGAGCCCCCGGGAACCCCACAGGTAAGAGGGGCTTTGGCAGAGGAGAAGGCACCTAGCTGCACTGAGAAGCTACAAAAAAACATGCATTAGTGTTCATCAAGTGTTCATCAATGTGCATTGTCTCGGTTCAAATAAACGATTAAATAAATAAATAGTGCAGCTTGGAAGTAAGGAAAAACGTCATGTGCTTAGAAACATAAAAGGGAAAAACTACTCTAAAACTGAAGTCATGTGCATCTTGATTCAAAGAGCATCTCGATTCAAAGAGCTCAAATTGATCCAAACCCAGTGTCGAACCAAACCCAGGGAAAACAGCTTTCCATCTGCTGGACTGTAAAATTCCAAGAGATTTTTTGTATTACTTGAAGATTGATTATTTTAATATCAATGACCCAAAATGAGTCATAACAATAGCATCCCTATGTAGACCTCCATGGCAGCATGTTTTTTTGTTTTTCTTTTATAATAAAGAATGATCTGAAGAGGCGATATGAACCTACAAGCCCTGAACATCTGAAACACTGATGTGTCAAGGAAGATCAAGGCCATTCGTGGAGATATGATCAAACCAGCCACTGGGAGAGCTCATAAATAATGAAACAACAACACGGATGGTTTTAAGGAAAATAAAGTATCCGCCTTCCCATTTCCAACTTCAATCGCTCCTGAGACAAAACAGACAGTTAAGAGAAGATAGTTAAAAGGATGCAAGATCAGCATGCAATCTGTTGCAGGTTACTTTTTCTTTTCAACATATTCTGCCTCTGGAAGAAACAAACTGAGAGCCTGGCTACGCTGCTAACAGAAAAGACTTTTCATGCGAAGGACCTGGAGAGCATATGGCTTTGATTAGAGGGCAGGGCAGAGAGCGCCGCCAATGGAAAGTGCAGAGTGAGAAACAGAGGGAGAGAGGGGCTCTATGGTGTGAGTATCTGTTAGTGTAACAACAGAGGGAGAGGGCTGACTCAAAAAGGGGTGACTGTATCTTCACGCTGGACGTTGACAGTGTGAATGGTGTGTATTTGCACTTGAAAGATGGCTCAAAAGAAGAAAGAAATCCGAGCTGTGTGAATTAGTGCCAGTATTTGTGAATGTGGGTCTATCACAACAGAAAGAGGCGTAACAAAAGTGAACCATGACAGTAGAAATAATGGCGAGCCTTGTGTATAAGACGCTGGTGCAAACTTTCATTGTGAACCTTGGCCATCAGTTAAACATGTTTTGATGTCCAACCTACTTGTCGCTGTGTGGCTCAAATCCAATAGACTTGTGTAATCATTTGGCAATCACAGAATATAAGCCTTAGCCTAACCACAATTAAGACTTATAATAAGTATTCATTGTTTTTAGCCACTTAATTCCCAGAAAGCCTAAGGTTTTGACCACCAGTAGTTCTATGGAGCAATGTTTTTATGAGTTGATCCTAGTTTTGTTGGTAGGCAGGTGCCCACATGCATGTGCACTGCAATTACAACACAGTACATATTCCATCCAATGCAGTATTTAAATTCTTCTTAACATTTGACATTGAAATGCATTGAGAATATCTCTTAAACCAAACCTTTCATTTTTAAACAAAGTGCAGCATGCAACTTGAAAAACATGTAGTCCTATTCCACAATTGCTACATGTTTGAAGATCAAAGGTCAATTATGGCCACAATTAACACTCCTCTACAAGACACTTGAAAGGCGGCGATGTCATCAAGACAAAGTCAGGAGTAGCACCTAACAGGATCCTGGAAGTGAGGATGAACAAGAACAACCTGTCTCCCATCCCTATCTGCTACAGATTAATTTCAAAAATCGCCACACCTCTTCACCAACGGCATAATATGCCCTCTATTCAAGGTCAAAATAGTAAACATGGGAAACGCAAATACTATCAATTTGGATAAAAGTTAAAATAATCTAGTCCATTCCAGCCTATATTTTAAGGTTGTAAGCATGGTGGTCTTTTATGTTTGTGGCCTCACACTTGACACTGTAAATATGGTATTATTGTATGATTATTATGTGCCTTATGGACTGGAATTTTTTCATAAATTGCCCATCTGTCAGACCTGACAAGATTCCCTTCTGTTAGTGATTCTTCTGATCTGGATCTGATTCATCTGAGCTGTATCTCTTTATTTCATTTCCATGTGGATCTCTTTAATCTAAAGCAACCTTCACTGCAACATCACACACAAAAGGGTCACAGTGCCCAAGGGATGTCTAGAGGTCTGTCAAGGTAAACAATAACCTGACCTGTCAAACAAAAAGCAAAATAACATGCACCAATGACACATAACTGTTAAAACAAACAAACGTAACAATGAAGGTGCTTCTTAAGCAAAAATACACCTTAATGACCATAATGGTTGCTACTATCCATTACAAATAAACACAAACAAACTGTCAGTGGCTTAGCATTCTTAAAAAGCAATGCACTTCGCAGCAAAAAAACAAACACAAATATCAGATAATAGTTGTAAAGCTTTTATACACAAAAAGACCCCAAAGACGTATAAAAACCGCCTTGAACCCCATTTGGTAATATTATGTTTCTGCTATGAGTTTAAGCGTTGGTCATTTTCTGCTGAAATGGAGTCAAGCAAACAACAACACTTCACCTACAGTTTTTGAGTACAGGACAAACCCAAGTAAATGCAACAAATGTACTTTAAGCTTGTTTTTTGGGTGACTTTCGGGGTTACTAGACAATTTTGGAAACCGCTGACACTGTGAGCAACTTTACAAACAAACCACACTCGCGATCAACGCAACCCCTGAAAGGTGTCTAAACGTGGATTAGCGTGACAGTTTGAAGAGTTGTTTGCACAAACTTACCGAGCAATGTTGTCAAATCCAGTTAGCATCCATGTAAACTCTGCAAAGTGAGCAGTCAACGCATGTTCTGCTAACTTTCGTGCACACTGACTGCACTGGTTTTTGCCTCACTCTCTTGGACAGACAGTTGATGCAGCAGCTCGTGCTGCGGTGGGAAACCGCTCTCTCTTCTCTGATGCCTTCAGGTGCTGCTCGGAAAACTATGCTCAAACTAAATCGGTAATTTTTAGTTATGTTGGTGTGTCAGATAGATCCAAGTAGGCTACTAGTTTGCCAACTCTAGCTTCATTGGTCAAATAATTGGCTTTCTTAAAAAAAAAATTGTTAAAGTATAGGTTGAACATACATAGGCTAAATACCTAATATAGCTTATAATTGTTCAGTATTTGTTTGTGATTTTTTTGCAAAACAATGAATACCACGAATATTTATATTTTAGCAGAATAACCATGAGAGTCAGAGAGCAAGACTACATATCATGTTGGCACCCTTACTTACAGCCATATAACAAGGTTTACTTCACATTTTCTTTTCATTTTAATAATTGGATCAACTGTGCAACATGTTCAGCAATTTGTATCGTTAAATTGCAGTATTTACTGAGGTGGTTCATGCATTATAACAAAAACCCATGCGTGTATTTAGAATGGGAATTGGGAGGCAATATATTTAGTTTGTCATTCAGCTCTTAGTAGCTAAATATCCAACAGCACGCGAATGCGGCCTCATCTCTCCCAGTAGCCATGAGCTGTGGACAGGAGGACAATAACTGCGGCTGTGAGTTACTTTGTGTGTGTTTGTGTGTGCGTGTGCGCGTCTGCGTGCGTGTGAGTGTGTGTCATCACACCGGAATGTCTGGCAACAATTTCGCACCATACAACCAGTTATCCACATGCACATGCACCGTGTGTCCTATACATCGTGTTCTTCAGTCCACCAAAAATTGTTTTACAGCAACTAAAACTGATAAAGTTATGGGCCAATCATTGACTAGTTGCAAAATAACTACTTCCAGTGCAGGTTCCCCCCACCTTGTGTAATCCTGAAACAATTGCTTTGATTTGTTTATGGCCTGGCACATTATCTACCAATCCAGAACCGGATGTGCCTCACCTCAACCTAATCGGCCAGATATGTGGGACAAGCAGGTGCAATCGGCAGATGAATGATATTTTTTTTAAATAAGTAATATAACCGGTTTCTTTGGTTGATAAAGGTCTTGCACGCGTCAAATCCATTTAATGTAGTTTCATTGATTTCCCGGTTGATTTATGTTACTAGTTTTGTTTACTATTATTATGGTAAATAAATGTAAAGCAAATCCCCGTAGATCAATTTCGTCACTTACCGTTGCCACGCCCACGAAAAAGCGAAAGCACGTGCTTTAAGAGAGAATCCCTTTTCCACTTCACAGCCTAAATTGCATACATTTAAACTTGGAAAATGGGGGATTATTTTCCAAACCCTCCCCGCTCCTCTGATGGGAAGTCTTATGCCATATGTCAGGAATGTGCAATCCGTCCATTCCTCCACCTCTCCTCCACCCAGGACTCGTGTGCAAACCTTTGGGAATCCCCAGATCCCTGATTAAAAAAAAGGCGGGTCTTTTTTGTCCAAGCATATCTTTATTCGAACCACACCATAGCCTAATATCCGATGTGATTATTACATTTCAGATTACGTTTTGTAATCGACAGGAAAAGTAGATAAGGACTGGAGTAAATTGAGAACTTGCACAGGTTCATTTGTGTACGTATTAGAAATGGTACACTGTCAGAAATAATGGGATAATAGATAAAACATCTACAAGCCAATCCGAGCCTACATATTGCTTTAATGTAACCTAAATAAAGTACTGTAATATAACTTCACAAACAAACTCTTATACACACACACCTTTGACCTAAAGGAAGTGAAGTTGCATTCAAGAGCAAATCCTTGTTTTGTGGATCCTGCCCTCTGCTGTCAGTAAAAGTTCATTACATGTTTAGAAAACCTATTATCCCATTTACACCTGATTCAATAGCTATAATAACACTGATAAAAACATTACTACTGATTCTACCTACAAAACAGAATCAACTAAATAAATCCCTTACAATCCATGGAGTACGTTTTGTTATGAATAGGGGTACATTGTAGAGATCACCATATTGAAATTGATGGGGATTACTTGTTAAAATCGAGAACATAAAAGGAACAAGTAGTTCTAAAGCTGAAGGTGGAGGGAACTAAATATGTTCTTTAGCATCATGGTAATTGTCCCCTTTATCAAAGGGCTTCTCTGTTCTAGTTCAGCCTCTTCACACTTCACTTGCTCGGCGCTCAGCTGAAGAATTACAATGCAGCCGTGCCTAGATTACATTACATGTTACTTGATAGACGCTTTTATCCAAAGCGATTTACAAACATTCAGTACTGTGGGCAATCCCCACAGGAGCAATTTGGGGTGAAGTGTCTTGCCCAGGGACACAACGACATGCTTACTCAAACTTGCTATCCTCTGATTCGAAAATCAGCAATTCAATATGTTGATGTAATACAGTACAGAAATAGTGAAATAAATACTATTAAAGCATAGTTTAAAACCCCTAACAACAGCATGTTTTGTAAGGCTTGTAGGTTTCTGAAACACATTTACCATACCCCAAGCTTACCTTACCATTTGATAGAAAACAACAAGATGGTCTGCCAGCATCGACTAAACGTTCTGAGAGGTAAAGAGAAAATAAAACTAGAACAACATAAAATGAGCCTGTGAACATCTGGAGGAACAGCTTGAGGTGCCAACATTGATTAAATATATCCATTCACACTAAAGTATGAGGCTGGGATCACATGTGGCTGATTTAATTATTTTTCACACCTTTGAATGATGTTACTATTCAACCCTTGAAAGATTAATTAGATGTTGAATAATGAAGGCTTAATAATCATTTTACTGTATTTTAACCTGTAAAAAGAATGTATTTTTATTGGTTTTGAAAATAAAATAAAATATCTGTTCTTATTATAATAACCACAGAAAATTACATGGAAATTAAAATCAAATTAGCTCTCATAGAAGAGGTCTTTCTCCAGCATGGCATCGAGTGCGTTGCTTGGATTTCAGATATCACACTGTTATCCCCTAGGACCAATGTTAATCTAAATATTCCTATTGGAATAAATGTTTGACTTATTTCAAACTGAGCTCAGCTTATGAGTTCTAGATAAAAAGGAGGAACTATAATTGGAGTGTTGGCATCATTTTTGAACCACGAGAACAGAACAGCAGTTTGTAAAAAAAACAGCAAGGAAGAAACTGCAGGATATTAACCAGCAGTCTAGCAGCAATTATTTCCTTCCTTTTCCCAGCTACATTTCACCCAATTAAACTTTCCAGCAAGAGAACTGCAGTTGTACGGGGAGACAATCTGTTATGCCACCGGCGTAGTGTAAAAATACAGCATTTTTTAAACAAACACAGACTGCTGCGCTAGAAACCCATCTAACTTCAAATAAAGTTTTTTCATGGGTTCCCTTCGAACAATAACACTTAAAGATCACCTTTAAAGCATCCGAGGACACCGAGGCAACCGTTTAGTGCCGAAAGATAAACACAACATTGCTTTAAGCACAATATCCAATACATTTTTTGCTTTTAATGTTTCAATTACATTCATTTCTTTTCTATTTTTGAGTCCATTTCCTTGTGTTTCAGCCAGATTCAAATAACCCGTGCATCTACAGACACCCTCTGCCTGGAACAAAATAACAGATTGCCATTTTGAGTTCACAAAAGCGAGATGTAAAGACCTCAACATCGGCTTTCTTATTTCTTGACGAACTTGGTGCAGGGTTTTCTCATTTATTCGCCTCTAATATAAAGGACGTTATTATTTGGCAATTCTTGCGTGCAGCCGTTTGGATGCTCACTTCATTTGTTGAATCATAGTGGCAGGTTACTGACACTTTTTCTACCCTGCAGCAAAGTGCATCATGGAAGATATATTTTTAGAACACTAATTAGATTGGTCAAGATGACATTAAGTGCTATAGAGTTGACATGAGATAATGAAGACTTCAGAGTGAGGATAACAGCAATGCCTTTATAAGTGCCTCAAAATGCTGTTAGACTTTTTCTAAAATCTTTTCTTTTTTTTTTTTTAAACACGAGTTATTGGGATGGATCTTCTTTGTTGTAAGAACCTAACTTCATATTCATATTTACTTTTCACAATCCCACCTCCTGATAGCTGCCCAGTGCAGGCTGCTGGTGACTGAGGAGCTCCACTAAGGGAAGCTGGAGGTTAGAGGTCCCTACTTAAGGCACTTCAAAGATATTGTTAATAAATTATCAACTTTGGATTGTATAACAGTTGATATCAGCTTATTTTCTTGTAATATGTTAGGGGAGATGGAGATAGGGATAACGGAAGAAAAACACAATGGAATAATTTCTTCAAGAATTGCATTGGGTTGGATTCAGGTGTAATTCATATTAGGGGCATTATAAGCACATAGAAAAGAAATCCCTGAGTAAACTGTTTCAAGTAAAACTTTCTAACCTTTATTTCAATTGTTTCTATTTCTTTCTATATCTGCAATATCTTTCTAATAATATGTTTTGTTTGCTATACAGAAATGCATATTTAGATGCTTCTATTTCATTTTGGTTTGCATTTCCTTTTCTTATTGACTGATTGACCCTACAAGTACTCTTTGCAGATATTCATTCCATGGTGTAGTATGTCATGGAGTATTCTTTTTTTTAGCATATTATTATTGCAAAGTTATGTAACACAGTGTGGCTGGTCCCAATAAACGTCTTGTCTTTTGCTATTTTAGTCAGCTAGAAGCAAATCTAAAATGGGACTGAGGATATCCTTAATTTAACCGCTTGCTTCTGGTAAAAGTCAACTTTCAGTCCCACTTAATTTGTACATACTATATTGAGGAGGAAATAGGAAAACTGTCTTGAGTATGCAGATCGCGACCCCCACTTTGGGAACCCTTGCTCTAGAGAACCTGACAGTGTTTCCTTCCTCCTAATTCTTTCAGAGATGTACACACAAATAAATGCATAACCCAGGTCACACAAGTTGACTCTCAGGAATCAACATAGATGTTCATCATTCAGTTTTGAATTGAATCATCAACTCAAAACTGACCTCTACTTGATTTCCAAAGAGCTTAAACTCTCTCACAGGTTTGCATCTAAGTAACAAGTAAAAATACAGAATTAATCAAGAACATAAAATGGTGAAAAAAGTAGAAATGGTAATACCAAAGTACTCTATCTCGCTCCTTCTTCTCAGCTTTTGCGCGAGTTGACGTACCACTTCCGAAACGCTACTCCGCTAGTGCTCGCCACCACGCACAGCGCCCCCCCGAGGCTCCATAAGGTCGGTGCGCGGTTGAGGAAGATGAATTGGAAGATGAATGCCAGCACCACATCGATCGTCCTCATCAGGGCCACGGGTCCAGCCTTCTCGATCTGAAGGGCCTTTGTGAGGAAGGTCTGTCCGGCGATACCCAGGACAGCTATCAGCATCAGCAGCCAGCGGTCGCGGCCACAGTTGGGGATTTTCCACTCTCCGAGGACGGATGTGGTGATGAGGCACTGGAGGAAGCCGATGACAGCGTAGTACCAGACGGAGAGGTAGTAATGGACGCTCTTCCCCATCTTGCGAAGGATAACGAATGTACAAGCAGCCCCAATAGCAGCTGGGATTCAATACAAAAAGAGAATGCATGAATACAACTATCACAAGACTAATGACTAACTAATAAAACATCTACAAACAAACATGAGACAAAAACAATATATGATTGAATACACTGCTTCAGGGTGTGTATCTATCATTGAATACCTTTGTTGTAAGATTTGATTTAATTAACTTGTTCATTGGAGTTTCCTCTTGTGGCTACTTCATCTCTGTGAAATCTGTGAATCACAACCCAATATATTCGCTTCTCCTCCTCCTGTCCTGCCGCGTGAGATACTTCCCATCAAGCCCTCAATTCTTGGCACATAATACAAAAAGATGTATTTCTCGACACTGAAACTGGTGGTTTCATAACTTCCACCTGCTCTCGATGCCAGAATGCCATTAGGCTGTGGAGATCAGATTATTTGGAGGTCTATTTGTGGGACAAAATCCAATTTATTTGTAGCTAGAAAACACAAAAAATCATGGGGACGATCACTGTTATGGCTTGCATAGGAGCTGAGGGAAAATAACAGCCTTTCTCTGTCCGATGTTGCCCTTATGGTATCACAAATGGGGACAGGAAGGAATTTGAGATGTATCATCAGTTGCAGTGTCACAATATTGGAGGAAATGATCACTCTGCATCCTTAGTTTTAAATTAATGTTATTGAAAGATACAGTATAATAGAATAATCAAGTGTGATTTATTCAAGAAAAACTGCTAAACAAAGCTTTTTTTCATGAGATAATAGAATAGAGATTTTAAGTCAGAACAACTGTTTTTTACCACAATAATTCATTCAGAATTTTTTATTTATAAAATACTGCACCTCCTGCGATCTGGAAATACGCTAGACACTATTTTTGATATCATTTTGAACTTTGTACTGCCGAAATGACATTTTGCCACAAAGTGAAGCTCCTAATACATTGGTTGAACTTAATTTGGGACCCATTTTGGGACCGGAAATTGTATTTTAAAAGTGTTTAGCCAGTTAGGGATAATAAATAATCCCTAAAGTAGAGATCCTGGCAAATTGGAGAATTCAACTTCCACTGGAAGATGACCTCCTTACAGTATAACCTCGACTCATTGGAATTAATATAACTACAGATGGACACAATATCAAAACATCCTATTTGTCCTGAATGATTTTACCTACTTTATATTGCTAAACAAACTGTTTATAAGTGTTGTGTATATATTAACTGTATTACCTGCAAATGCAGCAATAGTTCCCTTGATGTGGTTATTGTAGTTGCCATCAATGGTTCGTCGATGATCGCCAAATAGGAATGGCGGTCTTGCGATGAGGAGGACTCCAGTGATAGTGAAGACAGTGAAGACACAATCCCAGATTGTGCATCTCTCCTTCAGGAAGATCCAGGCCAGGATGGAGGTGAAGACTGGATTACTGAAAGAAAGAATTGAGTAAGAGATAGTGTGAGAGGTGAGTAAATGTGAAAAAAAATGTAAGGCTAATTAAATAAATCATTGGGATTATTGTCTCAACACATTTCTCTCATATAAACCCGATAAAACTCAACTTTCCCAGATCTTTAATGAATTACTGACAGATAAAGGAGAGCGGGATAATTAAGTGCCATATCAAACATGTTGGAAAATGAGTTTATAAGAACAATAGGGAGATTAAAACGAAAAAGGTGACAGGCGTACAATTCTGGGAGGACATAATCTATTTGTAGTAGAGGTATAATCTCCTCTAATCCACAATCAATTAACTTCCTACCTGAACATGATGACGGTGGCGTCCGCTAGAGGCATCTGCTGAACAGCATAGAAGAGCAGGATCATGGCATTGGAACCAATGAAGCCTCGAAGCACCAGATATATCCTTTGGTCTCTGGGACCAAGGAAACCTGTCCTGGAGGAGCAGAGATATGAGGATGATGGATGAATGAATGACCGGACGCATGGGTGATTGGACTGACTGACAGAGGAAGTCATAAACAGGATTTTAGACAGGGATGGATGGAGGGAAATTGAGCAGCAAAGTGAGCGGAGAGATAAATGACGGGACGGCTGGATAGATGGATGGGTGAGTAATGTGGAGATGACAGTGGTGGATGGACAGATGAACAGATTGAGCTGAAAGGAGAGAATGAGCGTTGATTATGAATTAATGTAAAATAAAGCAGAATGTAGAGGACATACGGATGGATGGATGGATGGATGAAAAGGTAAATGAATGAATAGAAGTACTGCTGGTTTTCTATCCATCCATGTAAAGAAAAAAGTGACTCAATACGAGCTAGTGAAATAACTGAAGTTACGTACTGTAACTCCAGCCTCTATGAGTATAGGCGTAGCCCTCTAAAGCTATCGCTATTGGGTAATTAAAACACTTCAATGCCCACCCGCGAGGTGGGCCCCACCTACGGACTCACTTCCGGTATAAATAGGAAGGAGACCCGACAATTTGCTCCCACACAAACAGCTTTTCTTCAGATATTCGTGGAGCCAGTGGGGCCCAGAACTTAGAGGGCTACGCCTGTACTCATAGAAGCGGGAGTTACAGTACGCAACTTCAGTTCTATTTCGTATAGGCGTAGCCCTCTAAAGCTATCGCTATTGCGTTAAGGGCGAAGCATGATGTAGTCTGCGCCCCACTAAGTCCGTCCGGTACCATAAGCACAGACACACCTACTCAATTAATAACCCATGCCTATTGCGCCATGGCTCATCAGAGTCCCTGAAAATATAGCATAAACATGAATATTCTCCACGAGGGGACGAAGGCTGGGAACAATACAAACCTGCCGCTGTGAAAAAGTAGAGACTAAGGTCACACTTTGTCCAACGATAAAAGAGGGGGGGGAAAGGGCCGCTCTCTGCGTGCCGACAGGCAGGAGAGAGGCGCATAGCTGGATCCCTGACGTCACTCACTCTGACAACACACTCAGTACAGAGTGTGTCAGAGAAGAATGGGAGATCTCCCTCAAATCAAATTGAATAAACGAACAGGGGGAAGACCAAGATGCAGCAGTGCAAATGTCTTTCCCCTGTGCAAAGCCATAGACGTAGAGGATGAAAATCCTCTGGTGGAGTGCGCACTGATGTTCTCCGGGGATCCCTTCCCGAGGAGACACACGCCTTTGACACAGCCTCACACAGCCAGTGTGACAGGCATTGTGCAGACAGAGGAAGCCCTAGTGAGCGCTCTCTGTAATGCACAAACAGGCGCTGGGAACGGCGCAAAGCAGCATAGCGAGCTAGCGTGTGCAAGGGTCAGAGGAGATGAGATGTTGCTTCTTCCTCTGATGTGTGAGGAGGAGGAAAGAAGCCATCCAAAGTTATCACTCTCGACCTAAGGAGCTCGTGATAACCTTTGGCATAAAAGCCGGGTTTAGGGCGCAAAATAGCTGAGCTGCCATCTCCTTGGATCCGGAGACATGACAGAGCCACAGAGAGGGCAGACAAGTCACTCAACCTTTTTGCTGATATCAGCGCTAAAAGTAGTGCTACTTTGGCTGACAAATACTTAAGGGGAACCTGATTTAAAGGTTCAAATGGGGCTTTACTCAGTGCACGTAACACCAAAGCCAAGTCCCACTGAGGCGCCGATGTGCGTGACACAGGTCTGAGTCTCCGTACTCCTCGCAGAAAAAAACGGTTTGTCAGAGGGTGACTAAACACCGTTCTGACACCGAAACCTACGTGGCAAAACGAGATAGCAGCAGCATATGTTTTGATCGTGCTGAAGGCCAAATTCCTGTCCAACAACAGCTGGAGGAACGACAGCACGTGAGGCAGGGGACACGTAATGGGGTCCAGGCTTTTCTCTACACACCAACGCTGGAACGCTGTCCACTTGGCTGTGTAAGACGCTCTGGTGAGGGACGCGGCCCTGGCTCCCTGGATGGTACGTACAACATCTTGAGAGAGGCCAAGCCCGCTATGCAGGGCGCGATGACATAATATTCCTGCAAAACAGGAGAAATGATGAACAACCAAATTCTTTGCTGCTCGTTTGGCAGATCTTGCCAGAATTTATTAATTTGGCACACACACAATTGTTAATGCCCTTAACCATTTGACACAACACACACACAAAATTGTGAATGCCCTTTTCTGTCTTCAATATAAACACATGTGTATGTTATATTCATGTCTTCAATATATTTGAAATAAACACCATGAGTTAAAATAAGAATTTCTCTATTCAGATATTGATTTTGTAATCAAACCCTTTTAAATACTGTGAGCCTCTCCGCTCACACAGGGTTCAAATAGGGACGGAAAGAGCAGGTTGGTGGAACACAGGCGTTTATTAACTCCAAACAAAAATATGCGCGGGTCTCAAACGTTGCCCGGGTGGGAAACTTCACAGGTCCTTTGGCGACCTTCCAGGATCCCGCCTACTGCATAACAGAACAGAACCAGGTTACGACATGCTTTTCTTCCCGCACTGATTACCTGATTCCGATCAGCTGTCTGGCCTCCGGCCAAGCCACTCCCTTCACTCCAGCAGTCAGCGCCCAAACCACACCCCGCTGCCACAAATACCTTCCCATCTAATCAGCAGACAGGCCGACAGGCGAGGGGGCGATATCACTCATTCTGACAAGACACTCTGTACAGAGTGTGTCAGAGAAGAAAGGGACATATCCCTCCCATAAGAGGGAAAAAAGGGACGCTCTCTGCGTGCCGACAGGCAGCAGAGAGGGACAGCGGGTTCCGCTGCGGAACCAGGCTCCATCTCTGTCTCCTCCGTCCGGGGGAGAAACGGGATGGGGGAACCAGGCGGTGATCCATGGATGGATCCACTCGGATCCAGGAACTCCAGGGCTTGGTCCACGGAGTAGGACTCCTGGACTGGCCAATCATCCTCCTCGGCCGCAGCAGCGAGAGCGTCCGCTCTTCGCTGTCTGTCGGCCAGAGGGAAACGGGCACCCATAAGCACATGACACCTGCTGGGCGAGAGCCGCGTGCGCGTGCTCCGATTTGCATCCTGCCGGTCATAAAGAGTTATGAACCCCATCTGGCATGAGGAGCAAACTCTAACACAACCTTGTGTAATCATGTTTAAGGATTTTCTTTTGAGGTGGCTCTAAAAAAAAAAAGCCTTTGCTCTTTAGTTTCTCTACAGTGCTTCAGTACCGGGGGGCTGAAGAAAAGTGAGAGCAGATTGTCGGGTCTCCTTCCTATTTATACCGTAGGTGGTGCCCACCTCATGGGTGGGTGTGGATTACAAGTGTTTTCAGTGCTGCGCGGGTGCGCAGGGGATTACCCAATAGCGATAGCCTTAGAGGGCTACTCCTATACGAATTAGGTGAACATGGTAAAATGTGCTATTATTTATCAGCAAACTGAGGAACAGAAACTGTGATAATTTAATAGAATTTTCTTTTTAATAATAGAATTAGCTTTCTGTGGGAAAGTATTTTAGAAAAAACCTTCCGTAAAATTGATCTACATGGGGTAATATAATAATTATAATTCATGTCTCTCACATTATTTTGACAACTTAAACTTGTTTGAGCAGGGATTGCATGTTAAGCCAGGATATTTACCTATGAGGGGGGGCTGCATGAGTGAACACAAACGTGAGAAAGCCCCAAGATAAATTACTGGGAGGGAAATGTACTATTCACTTCTGAGCTTACGCACTTAATGTTATCCCAACATTTAAATTACTGTTTGGAATAAAGACTGTTTAGGAGAAAATCCATGTCTAAATGCCAAACCCTGGGATCAAATTTGAAACTGTCAATGTTTGAGTTTCTCCATAAAATAATTTTCCAATTCGGGATGAATAAAGTATATATCTATCATAATGCTTACTTGTGGTAGATGAGTAACGGCATAGTAAAGAGCATCTGGAAGAAGCAGCGTATGGCGCTGATCTCTATGGCGTGGATTCCCTCGATTGTTTTCACCAAGAGCGCAATGATGGAGAAGAAAACGGTGGCCAGGAAGGCATAGAACAAACCCAGACCTTGACATCTCTTTGGTTTCTCTGAGTCTGGAAAAAATGAGAGTTTGGGGATGGTTAAATTAGCACAAGGGGAGAGAAGGGGGTGCAAAAAATGAATGCTTATTGTATTGTTCTTATGTTGATACATTAAAGACAGGATGGAGTAGTGAAGTTTAAAGAATGTTGTTGAACTTCATGTGGCCTTGGTATAGTATTCAGTTGGAGAAAGAAAACGAAGAAAATATGTGCACAAGAAAACGGTGGAGTGTTTGCAAACCCTGCCTGTGGAAAAATAAGATGATATGCTTGCAGAGATTAAACTCAAACCTGAGGTCACTCAGACATCTTTCTTTGTATTTTTCCACAATGTGCGGTCTACTTGGCATTTCATTTATCCTATCACAGTGTTTGTTTTTATTACCTAGCACGGAGCGAGGAGATGAAGAAGAATATTATTACAGTGTCACATTACGAGATTAGTATTACACTCTACATGAGCTTGGAATAATTGAATTGGACACATTTGTAATAGATAATATGATCATACCATTCAGTTATTATTTCACTGATAGTTTGCAAGTGATAATGAATTAACGTAGAACATAAATGCTGTCTTAAATAATAATTAACAATTATGTGAGAATAGGTTTCAACGGTCAAGATAAGATGTGTCAATACTGATTTATTTTCTAGCGCTCGTGTCAGCCTTTCTTTTTTGCACCCTGTTTCGTGCGTCACTGTTCAATAGGTGAAGGTACACAAAGGGAAACGATGTCCTAGGGCATTGAGTGCATCTCTCACTTCCTTGTTATTTCCCATAATAAAACCAAATCGCCTAATTTCCTCATACAAAGTTACACAGAATACTCTCACACCTCTCTTGTTGATGGGCACTTACTTATTAACTAGACTAAGTGTTAGAAGATACTCAAATGTATTGTTGTACTTTAATATTATTTATGGAAAGAGTTGGACTCACTTCATAGAAAGTTTTGGACACTTCCACCAAGATCTCCAACTTTTTTGAATACATTTGAATTAATTGTTAGTTTTTATTCTGTTTTATTATTTTCTTTACTTGGTATGTGTAACCCGTGTGTGTGTGTGTGTGTGTGTGTGTGTGTGTGTGTGTGTGTGTGTGTGTGTGTGTGTGTGTGTGTGTGTGTGTGTGTGTGTGTGTGTGTGTGCATAATGATAATATATGATGTGTTCATATAATTACTTAAATAAAAAGAGGGGGGAAATAACATAATCAGATCTTCATTCTAGCTATATGGATGGAAATGTTTTGATAAGGTCTTTTTATAGGCTTGTCATACTCAAAGCCTACAAAAGGGCCTTGTTCTGGTGTTGCAAAAGTGCACAGTCATCCCTCCTTTTGGAGGAGGATGATGCAAAAGTTATGCTGGCAGTTTATCTATGTGTATAATATTAAAGCTATAAGGCATATGGAACACTGACATATTGCGGTTTTATTCTGAAATAATAAACTAACATAAATAAAAGATTTACAATAACAAAACAATATATCGTATACATAGCTCACGTTTACTGTGATGTAAAGCATTGTGGAAATGTAAAAGCCTTGAAGAAACTATTTATTCAAATGTGTAAATTAACTTTAACGGTGCTTTTCTTTAACCATGTGCTGTTAATATGCTCCACGTGATGTCAGATCTATATTACTGTTACATGACGTTACACGGTTGTATAACGTGATGCTACGCAGCAGGAAGCCATTGGTTCTCTGGCTGCTTATCACTGTATTTCTGCATCGTCTTCTCATCTCAAAGCTCATTTACTGAGGGTGGAGACGGTGGAGACACGAATCACATCAGCTCAGAAGCCGGTATTTAACCCTAGCTAACAGTGCACAGGCTGTTCTACCTGTAAGTGCGCTTCCTTCTCGGGATGCGAGCTTGCCTCTGACGCAAAACGCCGGTGGGCACAACGTTTTCTTCGTGCTGCCTTCCGGTGAATTCGCCCTCGCTTCCTCAGCATCACCATCCTCGTAATCACACGACACATGGCAGTTACTTTGCAAGTGAATCGTGGCAGTTGTCCGTTCATCGTCGCCACTGTCGTCGTCGTCTCTGTTGTTTGTGGCATGGCTGTCAACTTTATGAAACACCACAGTAACGCCGTCCTCTATGGACAAAGCCCGCTCGCGCTCACAGTGGTTCCAGTCGCCCATGGTGAGATGTGGCGGCGGAGCGGCAGCATGCCTCGGTCAGAATGCTGCTGTCCGCTTTCTTCGGTGCCCTGAGTGACTGAGAAGACAAGGTTAATGACTAACCTTGGTGGCAGGGTACTCACTCCCATGCGTTGGTTACTTTACCCACAGGGGGGCAGAACTGATCTCAGAACAACTCAGCTGCTGCACAACTAAAACATGGCCCAACGTTTACGCCCATAGCAGAGGCAGGCAGTGGAGATTTGAACCAACCAAAACTCAAGCCTGCAGTACACACGTTTGAGCTGACAGAAAATCCTAATGAAAAACATAAATATCAGGCGACATTTATACTATTAGTGGAAAATAACACATTTCATTAACTCAAATACTATAGGCCTACTTATGTTTTGGAATTCTTCTAGTTTACTTAATTTTAGATTCTTACAAATATTTCTACTCCACAACCTTTTGGAGGAAAAATATGTACTTTTTACTCCTATTACACCACGTTTTTAAAACTCATAGTTACACTTTCAATGTATAACTCTTACTTGTAAGGGAGGATTTTAAGAACAGTGTTTTTACTTATACTTAAATAAAGAATACTTTTCTCACCTTTCATTATTACAAGAAGTATTAAAGATGTCTGGATAGCTCCAGGATTAATTTGAGCATTGATGAAAGAAGTAGTCTAGTCAGATATATTACTTGAGTAAAAGACATCACCATCATTTTTAAATGTTCCAGTACAGCACAGTGATACCAAACAATCATATTTTTTCTTTTAAATGTATCGGAGTAAAAAGGGTTCGGGTTGCTGAATAGAATAATTAAGTAACATAAAATCCCAAAATAAGTACACGTACCTCAAATTTGAACTAAGGTACGACCCTTAAGTAAATGTACTTCAGCTGAAAGTAATACTTCTGGATTTTGGACACACAATGGAACTATTTTGTTTTTTTTATTTTCTATCTGATTTTAGTTATAACTGACTCCAATCCATATCTACTGTGTGAGAAATAAAAACCTCACTTACTACATTTTCAAAAACACAATAAATGAAACTGCATCTCTGATTCAACATTTTAGTATTTTATTACCACGGTACATAAAATACAATGAGCAAGATGACGAAGGAATAGCTAACATCCTCTATCCTAACTAGATTAGACTACACATTTTTGCAGGAAGGAGGTGATCCTCGTCTACATTATATTCTATATCTAAGAAAAATAAAAGATTAAGTGTGGTCCCTCTACATACAAAAAAGCTATATCATATAAATTACTTTACACAGTACTGTAAAAACGTAAACATTATATTTGGCAAATCAGTGACGTTGTTAGTTGTTATCTTTTTCCATTGTGTCAGAATAAGAGGACCGTGTGAAAAGCACAGGTACCAGGTGCTGCACAGTGGTTGGCTTTTTAGATGGGGAGTAAAGACAACAATGGATTTTGTCAATGAGGGAGAAAAGGGGCAAGAGTGCAGTGAAAGAGTCGGGTACGGGTGACACAGTGGGACGCTTCTAGCAAGTTATTCATCAGGAATAAAGACTATGAGTGTTGGTGTCATACATGCAGTCTTGCTTAACTGATGGTCATACAGAAGACAGGACAGAAGGTGTTTCTCTCACAGTGTTTAGTGAATTCTTCATCGCATATATTAGGGTCACTTCTCTAAGTTGTAGGTAATTACCAGTGGTGGACAGTTACTATTTGATGACTTTAATTACTTTGAAGATTTAGTTGAATATGAAAAAGTGCTATCAACAAATACTTTATCATATGATATTACAAATGAAGATAAAAGTATATTGAATCCTTGGTTAAATTCACAATCAATCCAGCAGTATATAGTACAAAAATAAAATCAGCTCCTCCTTTAGTGATAAGTGAAAAATATATTAGTCTGAAATGTTTATTTTTTGTAATTTAAGTACATTTTTGTATTTGTACCAACATACGAGCACTTCGTCCACCACTAGTGATTAAAAAAGACTGGTGGAATATAGGTTGACTAGCTGCTAAATTGCGTTTGAAGAAATTTATATCCGTCCACATTTTACCCTTGTTTGGTTGTAAGCTTGTATTATTTTTAAGCTTAGTTCTAACGGTGACACGCTGCCCCTGACTTGCTGACTGCTTACTACTCTGCTGCTGCTGTTACGTGACCATAACACTTGGGATATGGTCCTATTTGATTATTTTATATTTGTGAGATTGTCCGTCTTCTACAAGGTATATAGCAAACCATCATTTGTCACATGATTCGTCACATGATTCAAATGACCCACTGCTTGCATACTTTGTCCACATATTTCAGGAGCTTACCTTCCATTGTGAATAATCTTATGTAATGACATTTTACTTTGAAGTACATTTTCCTGAAATGCTTTGTTAAATGAAAGAAGACTTAAATTAAGAAAAAAATCTCTATTATGTATGTAGTTTTTAGGCATAACTGTACACTTCAATCTGAAACTCTCTCTCTCAAAATGACTCCCCTACTTCCTATTATTCAGTCTTTAGCACTACCAAACTCCTAAATCATACCTATTACTAACAATAGAGAGAAAAATGTATACTGTGTGTTAAAAAAACTTTACAAAAAATTTCACCTGCAGTGTTGAATAAAAGACAAAAGCGATCATTTCATAGCTTGTGTTTCCTGAAAGATAGTCACTTCGCGCTTTGAGTGGAATTTTGTTTTTTCAAATGGTAAGGCAATTTTCCAAATAGTGAGAAATCAAGATGATAAAAAAGAAGAAGATTATCAAAATGACGCAGAACCAGCAGGTTGCCAAACACAGGCATAAGGGACTGAGTAAAATATATTTTAAATGTCAGACCTATCAAAAGAAACTCCATGATCATAACAATTTTAAGAATTTCGAGCAATTCATCTCTTCCTAGGGGTCCTGAACAGTTTCTTTACAAACCTCTTTAAATAGTTGTGATTAGAAAGCTTTTGCTTAAAACGTCCTAATGTTTAAACTGGGTGGGAAATTGCTGGTGGATTTGAAGGAGACTGAAAGAACCTAATCATGGAAGAAAATCATTTAAATTGTAGTGTAACATAAATTGTCCCAAATTAGATCTTTAATGTTTAATTACTCAAATCGATCATGAGGTGCTCGTAGATCTGAGTTTTCCCCTTGAAGCTTGATGCGAGCAGGAACACTCGGTTGTCAATGGAAACCATAGAAAATGCTCGAGGCGCCTGGATATTGAGCTCCTGGGATGGGACAAACTGGCCCCTCTCGGTGTCCCATTGGTAGACCTGCGTCAGTGAATAATCGCTGCCCAAGATGGCATACTGCCAGTTGCCGATGGAGACAGGCTGGAACACCATAGAGCCGCGGGAAGGAAATGTCTGGACCTCCTTGAACATGGCACCGTCCCAGCGCATCACCTTGGAGTCCCCGATGAATCTTGTCAAGCATATAAACAGCTCACCTTTGAAAAGATTCAAGGGGCTGTTTAGTATCCAGCTACAAATTCAGGATCTAAAATATAGAAATAATCCCAATGACAGTGTATGTAATTGCAAAAGATCATAGCTTGCTAGCAAAGAGTTACTTATAGACAAGCTGACCCTAGACAGAGAATATTACAGTTATGATTTATGAGCAGGTTTTATGGCAGTCGAAAGGGACATTGCCTCTTACTACTTTCCTAATGAATGCCTATTAGCAATGAGGAACTGAAGTGCAATAGATTACATCTAACATTAATGTTTTATTGAATTAACCACATCAGATGAATTGTTGACCTTTCATTTAATCTGCTGTTAATCATTTGACACTACCCAGAATCTGTTATTCTTACAAAAAACTGAATCCAATAAAAACTATAAGAAACATGTGAGTACTGTATAGGCTAAGACTGTGATACTTTATGGTTTAATTTGTGTGAGCACGTCTAATTAGCCTGTGTGTGTAGATGCACTGCCGTTCAACCTGCGACTCTCACCTTTGACCTTGAAGTGTTTGACGGAAAAAACGTCCTCCATATCCGGTATGTCAGTCCTGCGTTCAAACAGTTTCTGGCTCCTGTGCCACTGATAGACGACAGGCCTTTGGGAGCTGCTCGACAAGATCAGGTGGGGTTTGTTTCCGATCTCCAAATGCTCTACATCTGTGTCCCGGAACCACGGGTGGAGCGACTGGTGGGAGTAGAAGCCATTGCCGTTCCATTTGTATACTGTTGTGGAGCCAGCCTAGAGGTAAAATGTCAGAGGAAGTCATTGTAACAAATATATTCGGGTTTAGTATGTGTATGTGGCCAAAGATCAGTAATTTCAAAATTGGAAAAGTAAAATGTAGCCAACCTTAGAGCTGTCCGCGATAACAAAGAAAGACTCTCCGTCGATCATGAACGTCTCGATGTCGTTCGGTTTGCGAATCTTCAGGATGTCAATGTCCTGGATCTTAATGAACTTGTTGGCGGATGGGTCCCGTTTGTAAATGTGTGAGCCCCCAAACAGCTGGGCCACGATGACAAAGAGGTGGTCATCAATCACCATAGGCTTGCAAACCACAGTGGAGGTGCCTGAACAAGATATGTGAAGATACATTAGGGCTACACGATATTGGAAAAAACTGACATTGCGATTTATTTTTCCTCTGCGATATATATTGCGATATGAAAACAAGACAGTTTTTCCCCCGCAAACCATTCTTTCTTGAACTTTAATGCTATACGATTGGTATTCTTTTAACTATATTTAACCGGATGAAATTTTAGACACGGACGTCTGGATCTTAAGTTATCAGAGCAACAAGCTGAGCTAGCTCGGTTAGCAGCGCCGAACTGCCCTGGAGAAACACATGAAAATGCAGTGTTTTTACCTTTATTCACCGTTTGTTTTGGAGATTTGATTGTGATTGGTTCGCTGTGCATGCAGAGCCTGCATGTCACTCACTCAAGTACCCCTGACATGAGAGCTGCGCAAGTTTTCCTTTTGTAGCAAGCAGCAAAATAATTGTAACATGACGTGTTTGAGTTAATTTGACTACTTAATATCGCAAGTCCTAAAAAAAAAAAATTAAGACTTTTTTTTTTTTAAATCGTCTCGAATATTGCGCATGCGCATATCGCGGTTATCGTCACGACACGATATATCGTGCAGCCCTAAGATACATAAAACATTGGTAATACTGGAAGGATAATCAAATATTCTAGATAAGTATGTCCCCATTAACAAAAAATAAGAATACACAATTCTAGGGATCTATTTCGATCCAAATAGTCCAAATGCATTTTATCAACCCATTCAATGGCCACAGTAATTTGTGTGTTCTGCCCATGCAAAACCGAATGAAGTTTAGTTGAGAAAATAATGGTGAAATGTTTTCATCCTGGAAAAAATAGCGTTATTCATCCGTCAAAAATATTTCCCACTCATTTAAACTATGAAAAGGAATTAAGAAAACTAGAAAAGATTATCTAGAAAAAAATATTTTGTTGATATAGTTCTTCAGCCGTAAACACAGGAGATACAAACAGTTTGGATCAGGCTTAGAAAATGGATTGCCAACATACACTTTCCCGCTTCCATCTCAGGTTCTCCATAAATAACTATTTGCCATTTAAAGCCAGAATATTACACAGGACAACCCCATTACAGCCATTGCTGCTCTCTACTTGTTTATGGACTCACTTTCGATGGTGTCGTAAGTCCTGAAGGTCATCTCAACATGATCCCATTCCAGGAAGCTGCATGTCCCAGCAAACGGTTGGGCAAACACAACATACTGATCGTCACCAAAGGTGAAGGCCCCCACCGAAATGGACTCAAACTTCAGGGACTGATAGGAGGCAAACTCTGAAAAACGAAAGCATGACAATGAATTCTGTCCTTTATCTTTAAATAATTAATTCAGCACTGACATATTGATGCGAAAAGGACGGAAACAAGAGTTAAAAGGCTGACGAAAATACATTCTTTACCACAAAAAAATATAATTTGGTTGTGATGTGCCTACCATGCATCCATAGTGATCACAAAATTAAAAAAACAGAGAAGGCTATTGATGAATAGAAGTAAATAGGCTACATATTAACAGAAATAAACAAGCTTTAACACAATGTGTGCAGTTTAATCCAATTATCATATATCCAGTTGTATGCTACTACTATTAGACTGCTTATACACAAACATGCATGCATTTTAGCCTAAAACCTTAAGACTTGCACATAAACAGAACTCAAACTGACAAGTGTGACTGTTTATTTATAGCTAAATGTTTTAAATAGCTAGGTTTTAGAGAAAATGCATGTGTTTGGCAAGTTCTAATCATATGACTGGATAAGGGAGGCTTGGATTTTACTGCACAGGTTGTGTAAAATTCAGAAAATTGATGTTTGTACAAAGTTGTTCAGTTTTTAAAACATATTCCATTGACTGGTGACAGACAGTTCATGTCAGTTGAATGCTTCTATGACAGATGCAGGATTGTGATACCTGCTGTCATGCAGTCAAAAGAGTGTGGCAGCAGGTCATTGATCTTCTTCCCCTGGTAAATGGGTGGGCCGCTGCAGTAGATCTGGTCCAGGGTGGCGTTAGTCTGGTGAATCCACTCCACCAACCACTTGAGCTTGCAGTCACAAATCAGGTTGTTTCCACGTAGATCCCTACGCAAATAGACAGATTGCATTAGGACATCGGTTAACAGATTTGTTAAGACATAACCTCATTAATATGCTCTGTGTATTATGTATTTCAAGCATTTTATTTCCGATCCCTGTTCTGCTTACTCTTCTCTCTCTCCCTTTCTCAGCAGTACTTTGGCTTCAAGCCAGAAAACCGCAACAACAAGTTTCCTATCTCCTGAGTAGTCTCTGCTCGTCGCCCACTCTCAGTCTGAATTGCTGTTGACCTTGGATGTGTGCATTGAATCCCACACACACACACACACACACACACACACACACACACACACACACACACACACACACACACACACACACACACACACACACACACACACACACACACACACACACACACACACACACACACACACACACACACACACACACACACTACTACGTACGTACGTACGTACGTACTACTACTACTACGTACAACGAACGTAACGTAACGTAACGTAACGTAACTAACTAACTAACGTACGTACGTACGTACTACTACTACGTACGACGACGACGACGACGACGACGACNCACAGTGTCAAAGGCAGATGTCAGGTCCAACAGCACCAAGACAGCTGAGCTACCTGAGTCGGCGGCTAGGAGCAGATAATTACAGATGTAGCGATTCATTTCAGAATGAATCGCTACATCTGTAATTATCTGCTCCTAGCCGCCGACTCAGGTAGCTCAGCTGTCTTGGTGCTGTTGGACCTGACATCTGCCTTTGACACTGTGGACCATATAGCATCCTGTTGTCAAGGCTCGAACAGTCCGCAGGCATCACAGACTCTGCCCTTGCATGGTTCAGGACCTACCTGACAGACCTTAGCTTCTCAGTGCAGTTGGGTGCCTTCTCCTCTGCCAAAGCCCCTCTTACCTGTGGGGTTCCCCAAGGCTCGATTCTGGGCCCCATCCTTTTTCTACTGTACATACTGCCCCTAGGCTCAATTCTCACAAAACAGAACATCCCCTTCCATTGTTACGCTGACGATGTACAGATCTATCTGCCTTTCAATCAAAATGCCAACTCACTACAGCAGTTGATGGACTGCTTAACAGAGATTAAATCCTGGCTGAGACAAAACTTCCTCACCCTCAACGAGAGCAAGACCGAGGTCATCTTTTTTGGACCCCGACCTCCAGCCTCTCCGGTTGATATTCTGGGCTCCCTTAATAAAAACATTCTCCCCTCTGTCATGAACCTTGGAGTGACCTTTCAATAGGCGCTTTAAATTTGATAAGCAG